TTGCTAAGACGCGCACCACTGTACCACGTATTTCTATGGGTTTTGTGCGCGCTGCTGTGGAACGCCGGTGGAGCCGGTGAAAACTCGAGAAAACAACACAAACTCAACTTTGAAGTAATCCCGAACAACCAAATTTATATATGTTACACACGTAGGGCTAATATTGTTACACTGTTCAGAGGAGTCTCAACAATCATCCCAAAGTACTGTTTTCTGCGAGTTTTGGGCCTTTGTTTTCACCGCCGCGGGTTGCCAGGCGGTAGAAAATGCCCGGATGTCCGCCCCCAAGGATACAAACTATTCAAAATTTAAACAGTTGGAATAGCGCCCTCTGGTGGTCAATATGTAATTAATAAAATGATATAAACCAGTATGATTGCACAGGCATTGACAATGTTTGGGTATATTTAACCATAAATACCGTAATGCAGCATTGCTCAGTGAAAAGATGGACAACTTTGAGATGAGAAAGATATTTTCCACCCCAACTGCTTCAGTTTATCTTGGAATTATTTCTTGTAAATTCCAAGAAGTTTACTGACTGGATACTTCAATGTCACAACAGTTAAAAAAAGTCAGTCAGTATGCTAGTTTCCATGCAGTTGGAAGACTGCCCTCAAGTGGTGGTATACTCACCCTGGCTGGTCGATTGCGTCTTTCATATTCAGCCAGTTCTTCATCTGACATGAGGTCCACAATGTCACTATCGGCCGTATCAGGTCTGTAGAGGGAGTATGTCGTCCTTGGACCAGTAGGTCCAAGTCCAACGTCCTCACTATACATATTCTCATCATCGTCATAGTAACCAACATCATCATCGTCATCATCAACTGCAAAACAAGTACAGTTTGTATTTTGTTTATAATGATTGAATGTACAAAATAAAACATCTGCTACACAATTACGTTTTATACATGACTTCAAAATGCCACACATCCTAGATCTATCTGGGGGTACACTATCACTACCAATGGGAAATTCCCCAACTACTACATGTATGTACTTGTCACTAATATTCAAACAGTTCAACAACTGACATAACATATTAGAAATTATTCCTGCTACAAGGCAACAATACCTTCAAAAGTACCAGGATGTGTGACCTTCAGAGGTCGTGCATAAAGCCTATTGAGTTCTCTGAGTGAGTTTAGAATTTGTTTCTTTCCATTATATCACTGTAAACGTCTTCACCATTGACTATTTGCTGTGTTGACATCTACATTCAGTTGGATTGTCATTTGACGGTAAAAGATTTTACTATCATAATAAGTTTATCCCTGCAAGATAACTGCTTCTAATTATTATAAAGCACTAATTTCAAGGCTTTCAGTAAACTAGCATTAGGGTGGTTATAATATATTACATAGTTTTTCTGAACTTGTTTAGCAACTTTGAAAACATACAAAATAAATGATCAAATTAATCATGCAGAAAGTATAAACATTTTAATATAACCACAGAGAGTAGAAAAAATATATTCTTAAAAGATATACAAAATATAGTTTACGGTATCCCCTCCCCCTTCTATAGTGGGCTGCACTAGCCAATAACCTTCCCACTCTGTTTACAGAATGGAATGCTCCATTTATCAATGACTTATCAATAATAATGTCCTACCTAGTAAATACTAGTATACATTGTCAATGCCCTGTGTATAGTGGAAACAAATGTGTGTACAGTGGATATCACAGGAGATCCTGTTGTACATCTTTTTAAAACTGATGACCATTTTTTCAGCATGATTCATAGCCTGGCAATTGTAGCAAAGGTATTGTAACCAAATTTCAAAAGTAATTAGCCAATGGCACTTAAAAGTATGCCACACAAGTCTTTTTAATAATCCTAAGAAACTCAAGATGTAATACAAACCAATGCCAATACAATAGACCTAGTACATAATCTGAAAACAACTCACAGTCAACATCTCTGGTCTGTAACACAATGGATTTTTTAGGATTATATAATTTCTTGACCACGTCAGCTTTCTGGTAATCACGACTTCTATCTCGCCTGTCATTTACAAAGACACCTATAGACATCAAACAAGGTAAAAAAGTGAAATAAAAGAATACAATCTGGAATGTCTAACAGCGGAGAAACAATGTGTACTTACAATGTACACACATTTAAGAAACAAGATATCTGGGCTACTGATAATTACAAATTTTCACAAGTCATTCATCATTTTATGGAATTGTAAAGTATATGTAATTATTCTACCTATAGGCTACTAATTAGCCTCTAATGGCAGATCTAATTTATAGATGGAGACAATATTTTTATAGTATTACCAAGGGTACCGCAGTGAAATCAATATTACCCGTAGTTTAAAGCTAAAATGCCCAACAAAACATATTTTCAGCATGTCTCAGAAGTATTGGGACAGCAAGTTAGAAAACTTGTTGTTCACTAATTCACTGACAGCTTTGATAAACCAGATTTGACCATCACAGCCAATTTGAAATACATTTTAGTCCTGTAAAACCACATAAACTTACTGTAAAACAATTTATTTTCACTATTTTGATGTTTTGAGCGTATTCCACTGTGTTTTAACTTCACAAACTGGTCAAGGAAACAATAAGTTTTATTGTTATTATAATTTAGCAAATTTTACATATCAGTGAATATAGGGAAATTAGTGCATTTACAGTATTTAAAATACTGTTTTTTTTATATTACTAGCATTTGACGGTGAAAGAATGAAGGGTAATATTCAAATTGTATGTCAAAGTGGTTGGCAAATTAGTAAACAAGTTAGCAAACTTGCTGCCCGAATACTTCTTAGACTTCTTAGCCGTCTCTATCACACTACCTATCACACTTGAAAAAAACAGACAGAGACAAAGAGAATCTATACCTATTATGTACATCTTAAGTAGCATGCGCCTCTTTTCGGGTGTCATCAAACAGAAATCATATTCTCTTTGTGCCAGACGTCGCTTGAATGCCGGCATAACACGCATCAAGTCACCAGCAGTCTGTCTGATAGAAGACTTCACAGACTCAGCAAACAGTGATATGGGCGCGATCTTGGAATGCGCTTCGATCAGATCATCTAACAGATCCCATAGCGCATCATGGATTGGATCGCGGAGGAGTTCGGCTTCACGAGAGTAAGCGTTGATGATGTGAATCTGCCTAGCTAACTCGTGTGCTGGGCTGAACAATGGCGATGTCGTCAATGCATATTCAAGCACTATACGTCCATGCAGTAACGATTGCATGTATTTACGTGTATCGTCACTCAATTCGTCCAGTCCATGGGATGTCATACGTGGCCACAACGGATCATCTCTGCAGCAGCATCCATTGTAACGACATATGATATATATAAGCCATACTACTGTGACAATAACCCAACAACCGACAATACCAGCGAGTTCCCAAATCAGGTACGTTGGAGTAAGAAATGCAGATCGAATGCTGCCAAAACTGTCCAACAGGCCAAGAAAACAGACAATCAACAAACACACAAAATTGAATATGATGTAAAAATTGTATGAGGTAACTCGAAACGGTCGCCGAACACAGATTATGATAAATACAATTAACAAGGAAACAAGAATAAGACCAATCTGGAAGTTTTTTTCATAAAACAAAGTTGCATACCAGAGTAAAAGAACTCCTTTCAAGATGTGGATAATTGGACGATAGTAGACGTGAAAACGCTTGAAAGAAGAGAAAAGGAAATACAGGTTGACCAGCCACAACGTTCCAAGGGAGTGGGCATACTCGGTTTCTTTGAGTTGGATGTACCCTTCATGTCTTTCGGCTTTGGAGCTGACTAAATGCGGCCGGATTTTGGAAATCATCCAGATAGGGAAAACTATGTAGTAGACTATAGCGATGGCTAGGAACGGTAAAATATAAGCGAAGTGAATACCCGTCCAGCAGGTTATCTCATTGTGAACGTCTAATAGATCAACATAAGGGGTACAGAAGAACAAGCGACAAATCGCGACACCGAATGGCAGCGCCAACACCTGACAGAGAGTGATATAGACACGTTTCAATCTGGCCAGCTGAACCAGCATATTCGGATTCTTCTTCATGTTAATGGAAATATAGATACAGATGAATGAAAGGATGAAGAGGAAGACGAGACTACCCCACGCTAATAGATATAAACGATAGTCGATGAGCATTTCGCTACTGGGGATGTAGTAGTTGCTTGCAGGTTTGTAAACCCCGGGCAGCTGCAATTTTATAAACTCCCAAATGTCAAGGTTAAAAAGAAAAAGGAATCGAGTGTGGTAGCTCCAGTCTTCAGGCCAAGTCCATCGCAGTGCAATGGAGAAGATCAGACAGTAGATTTGCAGAAAATCAAGAACTAACAGTATAGCATCGGAGAAGACCAGCTCCACGTGACGACGCTTATATTTAGGGGAAAACTTCAAGTAGTAGTCATCATCTATTTCTTCTTTGACATAAAGTGGTTCAATTTCAAGTTCAATATCACGTTTTCGTGGTCCACCCTGATCTGATTTCATGGGTAGTAAAGCAACTGCCTCTGATGGCTCTTCTTCGGAGATTATGCTTTCACGTACCTCTCGTAGTGACCCCATTATGACAGGTCTCTATACCACCTGTTGAAAGAAATTGTGTTTATATACAAGGTCAAGATTTTTATTTAAACATGTCATGCAGAGTTTTGAGGGAAGTCACAAAATAACATAAAATAACATTATAATCCTAAAAAAAATGATTTTTACTTATCCTAATTTATGTAATTTCATTTTTGATTCCTTAAAAGACATTATTTGCATGCAACTACATCAATACTTTCTAAAGTACTATGTTCTACAAGCAGTTTTATACAAAAATTTTTGAATCTTTACATTGTACATGTACAGTGTACGTTCCATCGAAAAATGTAGCAGTTGTGTCTATCAATAAAATAATCTTCCAAACATTAGAACTTTTATAGAAGAGTCTACAAACACAAATGAGCTCAAAACAAATCAATCAAAAGGTTAACTTTAGAATTCCATATCTCCTTTATTGTACTGGCCCAGTTGTGGCAATTTTAATGTTGTATATTTTTTATTAGACGCATAAAATCCTTAGGAAAGGATAAAAAGGGTCTTACAGAAAGAAATTAAAGAAAACTACAATCTAAAAAATAAAACAAAAAATAAAAACTTTTCTAAAAAAATAAAACAAATCAAAAACAATAAAGACAATTTGCAGCCAATGGTGAATACAGAATATAGAATGAACACAAAATGTAGCCTAATACACTGATAGTTGTTGCTGTTTTGTTCCATAGCTGTTTTTTAGGAAGACAGCTAAGGCTGGTGCTAGAGTATGGTTTGCCATAATCAAAATGAATTTATTCTGACTATTTTCTTTATCAAAATTTGGAACTTTATTTTGTGCAGTCAGGAATAATTTGTCCCTATGGTGACTGTAAGCTGGACATTTCATTACAAAATGTTGCTCATCCTCAACTATATTTTGGCTGCACATATCACATGTTCTTTTATCCAGCGGCACATTATTATGTCGGCCTTTCTCAATTGTAAGGTCATGGTTGCTTGTCCTGAATTTTGCAATTAACCTTCTAAGACCATGGTTCTGCATATTAATTAGGTAATTTTCAATTTTTAAATCTTGTTTGAAAAGTCTGTATGTTCTTAGTTTGTTTTTAGC